TAGGTTCTCCTGTCTGGTGACGCACCGGGCTGATGCTGAGTCTTTGTGTAACCTCAGATGAGCAACTGGGGTTTGGAGGCATGTAGCAAAGGTAGGGAGCCCGGCTGGTCTCACAGAGACCCACATACCCTCTTGCCTTTCAGAGCCTCCCCACATGAAGCATCCCCCAGTCTGGATCTTCTGTGGGCTTCTGGCTTCCGCAGTGGTTGTTGCGGGAGCTGCAGGTGCCTTCCTCTGGAAGAAGTGGAGAAAGGGCAGGACAGCAGGTATGCTCAGAATATCAGAGCTGGAAGCAACCTTAAGCATCACTGGACATCAGTCTCTCTGGGAGGCTGGGGCTTGAGAAAAGAAATTTCAAGAAGAGCAGCCTAGGGAATATGAAGAGAGGGGAGTGGCTTAGGAGTCCTGTTTCCTCTCTAGCTGACTTATGTTGCCTTCTCCCAATATACGTATACATTCTCTCCATCTCTCTCTGTCTTTGTCTCTCTCTCTCCCTCTCCTTCCTCCCCCATCTTACCCATGAGAAGTTTTACCTCCTGAAGTATGTTTCTTTCTTCTTTTTTTTTTTTTCTGAGATGGAGTTTCGCTGTTGTTGCCCAGACTGGAGTGCAATGATGCGATTTCGGCTCACTGCAACCTTCGCCTCCCGGTTCAAGCAATTCTTCTGCCTGAACCTTCCAAGTAGCTGGGATTGCAGGTGCCCACCATCACACCTGGCTAATTTTTGTATTTTTAGTAGAGATGGGGTTTCAGCATGTTGGCCAGCCTGGTCTCGAACTCCTGACCTTGTGATCCGCCCGCCTCGGCCTCCCAAAGTGCTGGGATTACAGGCATGAGCCACCGTGCCCAGATATGTTTCTTATAAACACCCAAGCAATGAAAACCAAATCAAAACTGGGCTCTCAAACTCCTCCTATCTCTCTTTCTTTTTTACTTTTTCTTTTTTTTTTCAGATAGAGTCTCATCCTATTGCCCAGGCAGTGCAGTTGCTGAGTGCAGTGGCTCGATCTCAGCTCACTATAACCTCTGCTGCCCAGGTTAAAGTGATTCTTGTATCTCAGCCTCCTGAGTAGCCGGGATTACAGTCATGCACCACCACATGCAAAACAAACAAACAAACAAACAAAAACCACCATTTTTTCTTGTATTTTTAGTAGAGACAGGGTTTCACCATGTTGGCTAGGCTGGTCTCGAACTGCTGACCTGAAGTGATCCGCCCACCTCAGGCTCCCAAAGTGCTGGGATTATAGGCATGAGCCACTGCTCCTAGCTTCCTCCTATATCTCTTGATCAAACTTCAGGGGAAAACCTGCCAGATTCCCCAGGAAGGCTGCTTGGAGGTAGGTGGCGGGGTACAGGGAGGCCTGTGCCAACTTCTCATTGAACACCACTTCCAGCTTTCCTACCCCCATTTCTCTTCACAGGTGTGCTGAGAGAAGTCTGCATTCCCATGTCTAGTAAGTGGGGTGGGTAGATGGGAGGGCATATGAGAGTGGGGCAGCAATTTTATGTCTGAGTTGGAAGGAAATTTAGAGTTCATTTAGTCCAACTCCTCTTTACTAGGTGAGGAAACTGAGGCACAGGAGGGGGAGGTGCCATTAGCCAGGGAGTCAGAGCCAGGACTTAGAACCTGGTCGGCACCTCCTAGTTTGTTCCTAACCAATCCTCCCCACTCCTCTTGCTCTCACCTCTGACTCCCTATAGGCTACAACTAGAGTTGACTCCTCTATTTGAGGTAAGAGTGTCTGGATTTGGGATAAGGTGACCTCAGTTTGCAGGTCTCATGGGGGAGATCAGAGGTTCCATTGTTGAGAAGAGGGGACTTGGTCCACAGTGAGCAAAGGAATCTGTCTAAATTACTATTAGGAGAGATCATCTCCCACGGTGGGCCAAGCCTGAACCCTCAGCCCTCCATTTCTTCCCTTTCTTTTGCCTTCAGATTGACAGGCCTAAGAAGTCAAAATAAGTGGTTTCCTAGACCTGGTCGAGAGCAAGTCTCTATTGGTCCCAACTGAGTTTTTTCAGCTGTTTTTTCAACCAAACAGCACCCCATCTTCCAGTGAGGGGAAGGGAAGACCGGGCTGACAGCAGCAAGGCTGCTCATCTCACCTCTCCCCATCCAGCCATGCCAGCCACCACACCTAGTGGGGAGAGGTGGGCCTCACCTGGGTCCCCTGGCAGTGCTCTGTGAAGGGTCTTGACATTGTACTGTCATAATAAAGGTGTGTGTGAAGTATCTTTTTATGGTGACTTTCTAAGACCCAGGGAATCATGGGACCACTTCTGATGACTCAGCCTGGTTTCCAGTCTTCTCCAGGCCCTACGGTGGTCCCCAGCACTGGTCCGGGCCTGGGAGAGCTGACCTTGGCTGAAGGGAAGCCACCTACCCTTCAGGCATAACAGGATGGTGAGACGGAAGGAAAGCATGCCTCAACCTCCCATCAACCCTGAGCACCCCAGGAGGGGGCCGGCTAGAACTCTAGGCATGCAGGAGGCTGACCCCTGACCTGGCTCATATCCAGCCACAAGGCAGCCAGGGACCCGGGGCACCCACCCCTTGTCTGCATCCCTCTCAGGAATGGGCCTCTTGCCAAAGCCAGAAATACACCACCCACAGTACAAATTGTAATCTAAAAACAAGAGGGTGGTGTTGAGTGGGGAAATTGTGGAAGGTGTTTTAGGAGCCACTAGGAAAATGGGCAGCAGGGACTCTGTGGACTGGCTTGGGGAGAGCGCTTTTGGGGTACCTGTAGGATGGCAAGCTGAGAAACACTGGTGTGGAGATTCCAGCCAAATCCCAGGCCTGCCCCTCCCCCTCCTCTGGGAGGCCGTCTTCTTGGCAGACAGCAGAGAGATGCATGACAAAGGTGCCGTGATGGTTCTGTCCTGGGGACTGCGATGGCTGGGGAGGGGCCTCCTCCTGTTCCGAAGCTTGTTCCTCCCACCCCCACCAGGCCCCGTAATCTACCTGCCTTTTGGGCAGTTAAAGGCTGAGAAGTGAACACAGCTCCAACCCCACTTCCTTGTAGACCTTCAGGCAGATCTGTGGCAGGTATTGAAATGCACGCATACAATTAGGCTCAGAAAGTCTACACAGACAGGAGATGGGCACATGAACAAAGGCAACATGACAGAGTGGGGGAAAAGGCTTAAAAGACTCATGGATGCTACTAAGATTAAGACAGCTGGCCACAGGACACCCATCCCCTCAGAAGGCAGAGCCAATGACCCCAGCAGACAAGCCCAGGCAGGGCTGAGCCTGGAGCCTGCAATGAGAAGCCTTACTTAAATCGACAGAGGGCAGCGTGCGCAGTCCAGACCTGGCCTTCTGGCCTTCGAAGCTGCGGGGATCCCTGGCCCAGAGCTCCCTCTGGAGCCCCTAGACTTACCCCAGGCCCTCCACTGCGATCAAGTTTTGGGAGCAGACAGACAAACATCATCTGTCACAGACAGGCATTCCGTTGGCTATTCTCTTGCAAACAGAATCAAGCGCTAGGCCAGCAGCATGAGCCTCAGGATACTCAGGCTAGGCCCAGAAAAACAGACCCTGAGGGGGAGCTTAGGGCAGCCTTCCTGCACCCCTCCACAAATCACTCTCCACCTCCTCTCCATCTTTCTGCCAGCCAGCCCCACTAAACAAAGCACATCCCTCAATCTGGGGGCTGGGGGAGGGATGCACAATGAAGCTGGATGCCTGAGTCCCCCAGAGGAAGGAGGAACTAGATACCTAGGTCCCTATGGGGGGCCCTTGGTGCCCGTCTGAGGCTCAGTCTTTGAGGGGATTGTAGAGGGGGGTTGCTGGAGCTCCTTTTAGCGTCTCTGAAGGGGATTCTGTGTGAGGGGATTGGGACTGGGGGTTGGGGAGCAGGAAGTAGTCCCCAGGGGAGCCATCCAGGCCCATTCAAGGGTTGAGCACTTGTTTAGGGTTAGAGCTGCCCCCTCTGGGGACCGGGATTGTCCAGCCAAGGCCATTGTCCTGCCCCCTTCCCCCAGTCCCTCCCAGGCTTCTTTGAACCTGAAGTCAGATATTTTTTTCTCCCTACCCCTTGGTTTTCCCCACCCAGGGCCTAGGGCTGGAGGCCTGGGCCAGGGAGGTGGGGGAGGGAGAACGGGGCCTACTGTGGTATTAGATGTCTGAGTTTTGGTTGAGAGGGGAGCAAGGAACCTGACGTGCAGTTTCTATAGTGGAGGGGTCCCCAAGCGGGTGTCAGATCCCTCTGTTTGGGCAAAGGTTGGGAAACTGAGGCCCAGCCAGTCCAAAGCCTGGTCCCTTGAGGGGAAGTAGGGGCCAACCCCTCAGTCTGTTAGATGAGGAGACTTCAGAGTATGATTCTGGAAAAGGGGTGGGAGGGATACACACGGAGGCCCAGTCTGGCAGTCTACTCTTGAAGATGGGGTGAAACTTGGCAGGCTGGACAGATGGTGCCAGGCACTCAGGCTGTGGGGTGGCTGGATTTGGCCAGTATCTGGGTGGGAATGCCTAGGGTTCTGGATGGGTCAGGGGGAGGGCATCAGGGAGCAGCTGGCCAGTGTGCTTATGGCTGTTGATGCATTGAGGGATGGCTCCACACACACATTCAATAAATTTGAGGAGCTGAGAGGGTGACTGGCTCCCCGTGAAGGCACAGTGCCAGAGGTCTTTGGAGAGGGGGTCAAGCACTTGGGTTCCTGAAGAACATGGTGGTGTAGGAGTGATTCCAGACAGCTGGGACATGCAGAGCCCCAGAGAGTGCCAGGGCGCAGGTTGGGAGTTGAAAGTTGGGTGTGGTGGCTCACGCCTTTAATCCTGACACTGGGAGGCAGAGGCGGGAGGATCGCTTGAGGACAGGAATTCAAGACCAGCCTGGGTAACATAGCAAGACCCCATCTCTACTAAAAATAAAAAAATCAACAGGTGGAGGTTGTCCAAGCCTGTAGTCCCAGCCACTCAGGAGGCTGGGGCAGAAGGATTGCTTTGGCTCAGTAGATCGAGGCTGCAGTGAGCCAGCATTGTACCCCACTGCACTCCAGTCTGGGCAACAAAATGAGACCCTGTCTTAAAAAAAAAAAGGTTTCGGTGGGGGACCTGTGCCGAGGTCCTGGAGGGGCGCCCAGTTGTGTCTCCCGGTTGTCCCTTTCCACAGACACCACTACCACCACCGTTAGGCAAACATGCTTCGCCTCAGTTTCTCCCCCCCACCTCCCTCTCCTCCACCCATCCAGGGGGCGGGGCCAGAGGTCAAGGCTAGTGGGTGGGACTGGGGAGGGAGAGAGGGGTTGAGTAGTCCCTTAGCAAGCCCTCATTTCACCAGGCCCCCGGCTTGGGGTGCCTTCCTTCCCCATGGCGGGACACCTGGCTTCGGATTTCGCCTTCTCGCCCCCTCCAGGCGGTGGAGGTGATGGGCCAGGGGGGCCGGAGCCGGGCTGGGTTGATCCTCGGACCTGGCTAAGCTTCCAAGGCCCTCCTGGAGGGCCAGGAATCGGGCCGGGGGTTGGGCCAGGCTCTGAGGTGTGGGGGATTCCCCCGTGCCCGCCGCCATATGAGTTCTGTGGGGGGATGGCGTACTGTGGGCCTCAGGTTGGAGTGGGGCTAGTGCCCCAAGGCGGCTTGGAGACCTCTCAGCCTGAGGGCGAAGCAGGAGCCGGGGTGGAGAGCAACTCCGATGGGGCCTCCCCGGAGCCCTGCACCGTCCCCACTGGTGCCGTGAAGCTGGAGAAGGAGAAGCTGGAGCAAAACCCGGAGGAGGCAAGTGAGCTTCGACGGGGTTGCGGTGTGGGGAGATGGTCATGACAGGGCAGCCTGATGGGGAAGTGGTCACCTGCAGCTGCCCAGACCTGGCACCCAGGAGAGGAGCAGGCAGGGGCAGCTGTCCTGGCCTGGGAGGGGTGTGTATCGACTGCAGGCAGCCTTGGCAGGCAGGGGCCGGGTGGGAACTGGAAGCTGGAATTCGAAGAGACAACTGCAGGTGAGGGCAGAGAGGCCTGGGAGAGTCGGAAGTTGGCCCAGGCTGGCCTTTGCTCTGGCCCAGCCCTTGTCAGGGTCTCTCACATTTCCTAGGCCTGCCCAGGGTCAGGTCATTCATTACCGGCCCAGCACCAGTCTCAGCTTGGGGTTGGTTTGAGCTCCTTTTCCCACCCTTAGTCCTGCTTGACCCTTATCAGACCCAAGATCTTGGCCTTAGGGTTAAGCAGAGCCTGGGGGTAAAAACAGTGCTTATCCCAGGATTATTGTTCCTGAAAGTCTAGGGTGTGGCTCGTTTCTGATAGGGGCTCCTGTTTGGGCTGTGTGTGTGCACGTGTGGAGCTGGGTTTACCTCCAGTCAAGTATAGGGCTTGTCTTCCCTTGACCTGTGCCTCAGGCCAGTGACTTGCCACTGTGTTAAGGTGCACACCCTGGCACCCCTTGTAGAGAGCTGGGTTTTGATTGACTTCAGCCTCGGTTCCAAAGTTGTAAACAAGAAAAATGGTGAGAGATTTCTCCAGGCCATTCCCCAAATGTAGAGCTGCTGAGGGATTGAAGGCATCCAGCCCTGCTGAGGACTATTGTAGATGTATCTTCCAGTCCTTCAAGGCGACAAGTGTAAGCAATTAGAGATTAAGTACTAAGCCTTGAGACCTCACAAAAAGGTGTGACTGGTTTCTGGAGTGACCGAGAAGCCCCAGCCTCTTTGCAGGAGGTCACTGCTGAGCCTTGAATGATAATGGCTGGCAATTGTGGTCCACTTCCTAAGTGCCTGGCTGTGTGCTCCGTTTATACATCATTACCTCATTAACCAGCACAAAATCTCCTAGGGGGAGGTATTATTATCCTATTTAACGGGTTTTAACTGCTAAATGATGAAGCAAGGATTTGGACCGGTGTTTACTTTATTCCAAGTCCCCAAAATAGAATTTGGAAAATCTGAGATAGCAGAGGGCATTTACCAGTTTGAGTTATTGGCTGAGCAGAAGTTGGGAATGAAAACAGCCTATTTGAAATTGATATGATCAAGCACCCTTTGAGGCTTCAGGACTACAAAAAGGCCTTGTTTTTTTCCTCACTAGCTGTGCTCCTCTGTCCCCCGGCAGCCTCACTGGCGTGCCCCAGGGCTCAGTCCTTCAACCTCTGCTCAATCTACCCTTCCTTCCTCTCACCCACCCTCGAGGCTTAAATGCCATTTAGACACTAGATGACTACCGCGTTTTCTGTCTCCTGTGATGGCTCCCTGAACTGCTCTACCCCGATCACCCAGTTGCTCAAGGCTAAGCCCAGTCATCCTCAGTTTCTTTCACATCCTACATCCTATCCTTAGAAAATATCCTGAATCAATCACAGCCTAACCCCCTGCCCTCAGCCACTATCATCTCTGCTGGGATTACCGCAGTAGCTTCTCGAATTCTGCTTCCTCCCTACTGTCTGTGGCCAACATGTCAACTAGAGGCTGGGCATGGTGGCTCACGCTTGTAATCCCAGCACTTTGGGAGGCCGAGGCGGGCAAATAACCTAAGGTCAGGAGTTCGAGTCCAGCCTGACCAACATGGAGAAATCCTAGCTCTACTAAAAATACAAAATTAGCTGGGCGTGGTGGTGCATGCCTGTAATCCCAGTTACTTGGGAAGCTGGGGCAGGAGAATCACTTAAACCTGGGAGGTGGAGGTTGTGGTGAGCCGAGATCGTGCCATTGCACTCCAGCCTGGGCAACAAGAGCGAAACTCTCAAAAAAAAAAGAAAGAAAGAAAGAAAAGATGAGACCGGGTGCGGTGGTTCACCCTGTAATCCCAGCACTTTGGGAGTCCAAGGTGGGCAGATCACTTGAGGTCAGGAGTTTGAGACCAGTCTGGCCAACACAGTGAAACTCCATATCTACTAAAAATACAAAAATTAGCCGGGCATAGTGGTGGGTGCCTGTAGTCCCAGCTACTCAGGCAGCTGAGGCAGAAAAGCTTGAACCCAGAAGGCAGAGATTGCAGTGAGCCAAGATCAGGCCACCGCACTCCAGCCTGGGTGACAGAATGAGATTCCATCTTCGGGGAAAAAAAAAAGTGAGAGATCATTTCACTCGGACTAAAACAAAGTCACTACGTCCGCAACAGGATCCACCTAGCCACCAGACCAGCTTTGGGCTCTGGCAGGCCCACTTCAGGGCCTTGCCACTCTTGTCCTTTGCTCAGATAATCACTTTCTCTCTCTTTAAAAGTGTCACCGTCCTCCATAATCTCTTTCCTTCCTTTACTCTACTCCTGTAGACTGCTTTATTTATTTATTGTTATTTTTTTTGAGACGGAGTCTCACTCTGTTCCTCAGGTTGCAGTGCAGTGTTGCGATCTTGGCTCACTGCAACCTCCACCTCCTGGGTTCAAGCAATTCTCCTGCCTTAGCCTCCTGAGTAGCTGGGATTATAGAGGAGTGCCACGATGCCTGGCTAATTTTTGTATTTTTAGTAGAGATGGGGTTTTGCCACGTTGACCAGGCTAGTCTTGAACTCCTGACCTCAAGTGATCTACCCGCCTTGGCCTCCCAAAGTGAAGGGATTACAGGCATGAGCCACTGCTCCCAGACTGCTTTACTTTTTTCCATAACTTCTTTTTAAACAGAGGCAGCAGTGGTAGGAAAAGGGGCAGCATGGGTCTCACTATGTTACCCCGGCTGCTTTCCAACTCCTGGGCTCAAGCAATCTGCCCGCCTCGGCCTCCCAAAGTGCTAGGATTACAGACATGAGCCACTGTGCCTGGCCATTTTTTATTTTATTTCCTTTTTTATTTTTCAGAGCAGGAGTGGAAGTTTATTATTAAAAAGTGATAGAGCAGGAAAAAAAGGAAAGTGCACTTGGAAGAGATCCAAGTGGGTGACTTGGAGAACAAGTGCCACACAGCCCTTCTGTCACTCTGGGCGTCAGGGCCCTGTCCACTTTGTATAGCCGCTGGCTTATAGAAGGTGCTCGATAAATCTCTTGAATTCAAAAATCAATTAGGATGCCTCTGTAGTGAAAAAGATACAGTAAAGATGAGGGATAATCAATTTTCAAAATGAGCAGTAAGTACACACAAAGCACTTTATTCATTCTTATGACACCTGTTGCTTTTTTGCTGTGTTTGGGTATACGCATGCCATGTCATAGTTTGTGGGGCCCTCAAAGCAAGCTGGGGAGAGTATACCGAATTTAGCTCCTGAGACATGATGCTCTTCCTTTTTAATTAACCCAGAACTTAGCAGCTTACCTATTTCTCTAATGTCAAAACGTCCTTAGACTGGGGGTGATACTTGAGTGAAAGAGAATTTTGCAAGTATTAAATGAGCTAGCTTCTTTTTTTTTTGTTTTTCTTTGAGACACAGTCTTGCTCTGTCACCCAGGCTGGAGTGCAGTGGTGCGATCTCAGTTCACTGCAACCTCTGCCACCCGGGTTCAAGCGATTCTCCTGCCTCAGCCTCCTGAGTAGCTGGGATTACAGGTGTATGCCACCACACCTGGCTAATTTTTGTATTTTTAGTAGAGATAGGCTTTCACCATGTTGGCCATGCTGGTCTTGAACTCCTGACCTCGTGTCTGCCCACCTCAGCCTCCTAAAGTGCTGGAATTGTAGGCGTGAGCCACCACGCCCAGCAAAGAGCTTCTAACCTTCATAACCTGACAGGTGTTCTCCTCGAGTCCAGGGTCTCTCTGTCCTTTCACGGTGCTCTGCATCCCCTGGATGTGCCAGTTTCTGGGGGAAGACCAGTCCCTTGTTACATGCATGAGTCAGTGAACAGGGAGTGGGTGAATGACATTTGTGGAAAAGTTATTTCTAGAAGTTAGGTGGGCAGCTTGGAAGGTAGAGGCACTTCTACAGACTATTCCTTGGGGCCACACGTAGGTTCTTGAATCCTGAATGGAAAGGGGAGATTGATAACTGGTGTGTTTATGTTCTTACAAGTCTTCTGCCTTTTAAAATCCAGTCCCAGGACATCAAAGCTCTGCAGAAAGAACTCGAGCAATTTGCCAAGCTCCTGAAGCAGAAGAGGATCACCCTGGGATATACACAGGCCGATGTGGGGCTCACCCTGGGGGTTCTATTTGGTGGGTTCCCCTCAGCATGTTCTGACCACATCTCCCTTCTAAGGAACATTCCTGAATCTAGGCCTTTTCCTCCCCATCAAGGGAGTGCGGGAGGCACAGGGGCAGACTCCACCCTCACCCATGAAGAGGAGTGGGGAGAGGGAGAAGATGCTTGGGCTTTGAGCTCCCTCTGGGAAGAGGTGGGAAGCTTGGATCTCAGGGTCACAAGGGCCCTGCATGCTCCCTCACTTTGCTTCTCCTTTGACTGGCCTCCCCCAGGGAAGGTGTTCAGCCAAACGACCATCTGCCGCTTTGAGGCTCTGCAGCTTAGCTTCAAGAACATGTGTAAGCTGCGGCCCTTGCTGCAGAAGTGGGTGGAGGAAGCTGACAACAATGAAAATCTTCAGGAGGTGAGGGTGGGAGGGGGATACATGGGGACCTTCCCTTTCTTGGCCTAATTTCCATTGCTTCCATCCCTAGCTTGTAGCTCTCCGTCTTTGGTGCAGTGGTTCTCAGTGGGATGGAGTAAAATTCCTCAGTTCTGCTGGGATAAGGTCCAGAGCCAACCCTTCCAGGATCCTGCCTTTTCACACCACCTGGCTTTGCTGACACATCTAGTCACAGACCCCCGTGATGCTGTTAACTCAGCAAGTCCAAAGCTTGCCCTTGTCACCCCCTTCCCACCTGCACAGATATGCAAAGCAGAAACCCTGGTGCAGGCCCGAAAGAGAAAGCGAACCAGTATCGAGAACCGAGTGAGAGGCAGCCTGGAGAATCTGTTCCTGCAGTGCCCGAAACCCACACTGCAGCAGATCAGCCACATCGCCCAGCAGCTTGGGCTCGAGAAGGATGTGAGTGCCATGTCTCTCTGCGGGCTCCATCTCTCTCCCGTCACCACCTCGCTCTCCCTCGCTCTGGCTCCTCCTCCGACTGCTCTAGGGGCTGTTGGCTTTGGGCAGAATGTCCAAGCAGAGTCAGGCCCGTCTCAGCTCATTGTCTAATGTCACTCTCCTTTCTGTCATCCACCTGCAGGTGGTCCGAGTGTGGTTCTGTAACCGGCGCCAGAAGGGCAAGCGATCGAGCAGTGACTATGCACAACGAGAGGATTTTGAGGCTGCTGGGTCTCCTTTCTCAGGGGGACCAGTGTCCTTTCCTCTGGCCCCAGGGCCCCATTTTGGTACCCCAGGCTATGGGAGCCCTCACTTCACTGCACTGTACTCCTCGGTCCCTTTCCCTGAGGGGGAAGCCTTTCCCCCTGTCTCCGTCACCACTCTGGGCTCTCCCATGCATTCAAACTGAGGCGCCTGCCCTTCTAGGAATGAGGGACAGGGGGAGGGGAGGAGCTAGGGAAAGAGAACCTAGAGTTTGTGCCAGGGCTTTTGGGATTAAGTTCTTCATTCACTAAGGAAGGAATTGGGAACACAAAGGGTGGGGGCAGGGGAGTTTGGGGCAACTGGTTGGAGGGAAGGTGAAGTTCAATGATGCTCTTGATTTTAATCCCACATCATGTATCACTTTTTTCTTAAATAAAGAAGCCTGGGACACAGTAGATAGACACACTTATCTTGGTTTGTCCTTCAGTTACGGAGGTGGGGATGGGAATATCCAATGCTCATTCATACCCAAGTGAACCTGAAATCAAGGTGCCATTGAAACTCCTTAAGGTCACGCAATGTCAGGGGGAGAGGTGGGATTGCAGCCAAGTTTATTTGTACAGGGCCCTCTTATAGGCTAGTTCCCAAAAGCCTGTGACACGAGCTTTTGCCTGTAGAATCAGTCACCATGTGGCTGTTACCTGTTCAGAGCTGGCTTTTTGCTTTCCCCACCCTATTCTGGAATTCTTAAATGGCTTTATACTTAGAAACCGTCTTATTTCTGTTGTACCTAAATCACCCCAACCAGAAACTTCTATTAATACTTTGTGCTTTCTGGATAACTTTGGTTTCCACTTAAGGTTTTTGCATACTCCGCCCATAAGTAACTCATTAGATACTAAAGTTTTATTCCTGGCTCTGCCACTAGTTCATTAGGGGTCTTTGCCCCAGAGTCATTTCCTCCATGTAAAAAAACCTGGGCTCATTAAATCTAGGTATGAAAGGGTGGATGTGGCAGGTTGTAATATAACAGGTCAAGATAAGGCTTTATTTCTACTGAAATGATGCTTTGACAATAGCTTGGCTTGGTGTAAGGCTCACAAAAGAAAATCACATGTACCATGTGTGGGTTAAGCAGTTTGATTCACACTGGACCAGGCCAGCCCAGTTGCCCTCTGCTGTGTCCAACCGTGGAGTGGAGCTGTGTCGCAGCTATCACACTGGTAAACTGCTATAGCTGGTTTACCAGGCTTTCTCTTCCCCTGATGGTACGGGTGAAGCCTGTAAATAAATCTTCTGCTATCTTTGTGAACTTAAATAGATCTGTTTTCCCTTAAACTAGAAACCTTAATTACTTGTATTCCTACCTCCAGCTCAACCCATATATTTGCACCTTTCCAGTAAGCAGATTGTATTTCCATCTCTCCTCCCCTTTCCCTAAGATTCTGAATTAGTTCTCCAGACCTTGCCAAGTACATTCTCCCTGGAAAGCAAGGAATATATCACAGACCCACAAGAGTAAATACCCAGGAGTGAAAGAAGCTGCTTGTCCTCGACTTAGAAATAAAAGCAAAGCTCTGAAAAGCCAGGTCACTACGATTTGGTCGGAAGCAGGACTAGCCACAGAGTAGGGAAGTTTTGGGGACAGGCCCTAGGTTTTCCCAGAATGCCTTGGGTGATGCCACCAAGAACCTTAAGAACTCCCTCTTACATTTTCCATCAGTTGCAGGCATGGCTTTTGCAACTGATAGGTGCTCTGACTACAGATATTCTGGTGTCCATGGCAACATGGCCTTATAGCTTGTAATAGTGGGAACTTCCAGCTCACTGGCAATTTCCTGGAGGTGGCAATATCTTTGGCAGGAAACCATCTCTTCTGTCAGCTTGGCCACCAGGGTCTGCTCCAGGCCCTGAATGAGTCCACATCAACCCGCCCTTCTTCCCTGTAGTCATTCCCTCCTGGGGAGGGAAGGGAAGGGGGGCATTTAGCAGACCCATTTGCTCGCTGCTGTGTCTACTCATGGGCAGGTGTGTCCGATGGTGCCTTGGTGGTGGACCTTAGGTCTGGATGCCAGCCCGGCACCCTGGGCATCGGAAGTCGGCCTCCCTGGCAGCCTGGATGCTGCAGCCAACACAGGCCACATGGAACCAGACGTCACAGCCATCACACTGAACCCAGGCCACTGTCTCTTCCTGGGGCAGGCAGCAACAAGGAGCTGCACAGGGCTCCCCGCCCCCAACTGCAGGGGGAGCCATGGGGGTGCTCACTGGGTACTTCCGAGGACGGCCACGTCGATTTCTGAAGGAAGTGACACAGACACAAGGGTCACTGGAAACCTGTAGGAGAAGGCCTAGACCTTGCCACCCTATGGCTGGTCATAGGGTGAGGCCACAGAGGCACAGTGGTCTGAGGACTAAGGTGAGCCTGGACTCCGTCCTTAAAAACACATAGGGTGGGCCTAAAAACCTCTAGTGTGAGCCTGGAAGTTCCCCATCCTTAGGCACTGGAAGAATGGGGTTAAAGCCATATGAATGTAAAGCAGGACATGCCCACTCCGGTTGTTTTATAAGCACTACCCCACCCTACCTCTCATTTTCTCCTGCACATATTTTTCTTTTCCTATCAGAGCTAACCCAGGTCTTGCCATTCCATCTATTCCACCTCCCGTGCCCGTCCCCCAAGCAGGGGAATCTCCTCACAGCCTAGGGATACAAGGAATCAAAAGGCAGTAAAACACTGAGAGGGCCAAGTGAGGACTCTACTTACCCAGTGGGAGTCAGTGGGGCTTTGTCTACACGGAGTTTCTTCCTGGGCTCCGTAAGGACCGGTGGCGGGCTCTCAGAAGGCTGACTCTCATCATCCAGTTCCGCCAACACTCGGTGAACAGATTTCCTCCGATTGCGTGGGGGTGGAGCAGAAGGGGTGGTCCCCACTTCCCCAGGTGGGGCGGGAACAGGCAGGCTCCTTGGTCCACCCCAACTAGGGGAGAAGGTGAGGGGCTGGGGCCGGAGCTTGCTGAGGCTGCCGATGGAGTTCAGGATCAGTGTGGCCTTGGGGGCAGGGGAGAGGGTGCTGAGAGGCCGCTGTGGAGCCCCTTGGGAGGGCAGCATAGGCCGGAAACCAGCCCCAGCCCGGGTTTCTCCCCTAGATCGTGGGATGGTAATGGCAGCAAAGTCCTGAGGCTTGACTCGTACTTGTTGGAACATGAAGTAGAACTCCGAGGGGCTGGTTCCTGGCGGCCCTTCAGGGCCAAAGGTCAGGAGGTCTCCATCACTCAATTCCAGCCTGTGACCTCTTGGGAGTCGGACATTATTGACCAAAGTACCTGTTGATGGTGGGGCACCAGGCAAATACGGAGGACAAGAACAGAAATGACCAGAGTCAGGAGTGCAGAAATCTGGCTCTGTCTGGTTTCTGGGGAAGAACATGAAACTGCTATCAGATTCTCCCTCACATCCTAAGCCCCTCAGCAGGTGACAGGCACCAGGCAGTACGCTCCTTGTCAGCTGGGAACAAGTCTGTGTTTCTTGTGCTTTCCTACAAAGGATCCCTCCCCTCACTCTCCTAAGGTCCAATTTTCTTCCTTTTTTTTTTTTTTTTTTTTTGCGGGGAGTCTTGCTCTATTGCCCACGATGGACTGCAGTAGCGCAATCTCAGCTCACTGCACTCCGCCTCCCAGGTTCAAGCGATTCTGCTGCCTCAGCCTCCTGAGTAGCTGGGATTACAGGCACGTGCCACCACATCTGGCTAATTTTTTTATTTTTAGCAGAGACATGGTTTTACCATGTTGGTTAGGCTGGTCTCATACTCCTGGCCTCATGATCTGCCCGCCTCAGCCTCCCAAAATGCTGGGATTACAGGCGTGAGCCACCATGCCCCGCCCTAAGGTCCAATTTTCAAACATGCTCACTCTCCCCAGCTCCAGCTCGTTCAGATTCTAGCTCTACCACTTACCAGCTATGTGACCCTGAGCAAGCTTTTTGTTTGTTTTTTTTGTTTTGTTTTGTTTTTTTGAGACGGAGTCTCACTCTGTTGCCAAGCTGGAGTGCCGTAGCACGATCTCAGCTCACTGCAACCTCCGCCTCCTGGGTTCAAGTGATTCTCCTGCCTCAGCCTCCTGAGTAGCTGGGATTACAGGCACGTGCCACCACATGTGGCTAATTTTTGTATTTTTAGTAGAGATGGGGTTTTACCATGTTGGTCAGGCTGGTCTCAAACTCCTGACCTTATGATCCTCCTACCTCGGGATCCCAAAGTGCTGGGATTACAGGCGTGAGCCACTGCACCTGGCCTTTTTTAAAAAATTAATTAATTTTTTGGTAGAGACAGGTTTTCACCATGTTGCCCAGGCTGGTCTCGAACTCCTGAGCTCAAGTGATCCACCTGCTTTAGCCTCCCAAAGTGGTGGATTACCGGTGTCGAGCCACCATGCCCAGCCCTGGACAAGTTCCTTAATCTCTTTGTGCCTCATTTTCCTTTACTGTAAATGAGGATAATATTAGTGCCACTTACATTCAATACACTTAAAATACTGCCTGGTTCATAACGGGAAGCACTAGATGAATGTTGGCTACCATAGTCTAATAACCACAACACTCCTACAACTGACTTTACCAAGAGGAAGAGGTTTTGCCAGGGGCCAGTGGCAGAACTCAAATGTGAATCTAGGCTTTCTGAGGCTAACTCCCTCAAGTCAGGGAGAAAGACATATACCCAGATTACTAAAAACATTATTCAACATAGAACTGCCCTAACCCAGGAACAGAGTGCCTCAGCAAAGCTGGAAACTGAATCAAGTCTAAACTTGGCCTCTAAACATCCCCTCTGTGACATCTTTCTGATGATACCCCAGGTCCTGCATGAGCTAAACGGGACCAACAAGGGTCGGTCTGGCAGAGAGCTTCTGACTGTGCATACTTCTGGTGGGAAGATGAAGGTCTGGACAATTACCATCCATCCAATCTGATGGGAGTATGGGAGGCAGGCAGCAGGGTCTTGTGGAGACCTTACTCATTCCAGCCTGGAACTTCAACCACCCAGGGGCAAAGCTGCCCTGCTTACTGCTCACCTTGGCTGCTGTGGTCTTCCAGGCTGACCCTCCAATCATCACCCCGGGGCTCGGCGTGCAGTTCGGCGTGGATCCCAGAGATGAGGCCAGGCTCCTGCTGGGGCCGCAGAGCCACATCACACAGGTCGGCCCTGTGGCCCAAGCGATAGGTGCAGCCAGCCCCGGCGGGGGGGTGGAAGGTGTAGAGATCACCGCCCCTGCCGCCCCCTATGCGCAGCAGTTGGAAGCAGGGCAGCATGGGCGGTGCCCCCTTTGCACCACCTCTTCCACTTTAGGGATCCATTTCCTTTTCCACTCCTGGGCCACGCACCGATGGCTTAAGTTCGCTTCCCAGTCTGATGCAAACTTGAGTTGTGCTGTGTGCAGTTTCAACTTTGAGCACACTACCTGAATAGTCCAAATTCAGAGTGCAAGCAGCCTAGGACTCAATGCAAAATCGGCTGTTAAGCCGACTTGCAAATGAAAAATTCCAGGAAGGTCTCCGTGCAATGCAAACTCAGGAACACGTCCTATGGCACCTCACTTGAGCTGGATCCTCAGGTCGCAAAATATCTGGGGAGCCTCCAATCTGCAAGGCAAGGATACTTTAGGCAGCTCCTGTGTGTGTCGGTGTGGCGGGGCGCGGTGGGGAGGTCCTGTTATACACACGTCTACGTGCAGTACGAACACATCACCTCTGTGTAATTCGGAGAAGAGCAGCTTCTTCCTGTCAAACCTGCTTATCCTAATAGAGCACTCCCGCTTGCCTGCGCCCCGATCTTCTGGCCAATCCCTCACTCATAACTAGTTTGAACCTCCGAGGGCAATGAATCTACTGTCATCCCCCAAAAGGAAGTGCCAACGAGTTCTTAAGTACTCCAACAAATTGGACCTAAACCCCTACTTCCCGGCTTCTCTAGGTGGGATAAAAACAGGAAGGGGCTCCCCGCGATCATGCAAGGCATACCCGGCCTTTTCCCTCTCGGCCCCAGCCCCGTTTCGGATCTACCAGCGCGGTGCAGTCTCCGAGTAGCCTCCTCTTCAAGCAGTGCCAGCCTGTGCCGCGGGTCCCGGGACCCCCTGGGCTCCTCGGCTGGAGCCGATACTGCTGCAGCTGTTTGACAGCCAGGAAGCCGGGGCCAGGAGGGGCGCGGCCTCGGCGCGCGGGCAGCGCCTACCCCTCCTTCGGAATTCCCGGGCCCGAACTTCGCGCCGAGCGAGCCCGCCCCCGTGCCGTTTCTGATTGGCCAGCTCATTTGCTCTCTTCCGCGCCATTGGACATCTTCCTAAGATCTCCCGCCTTCCGCTTTTTCTGATTAGTTCACAAGTTTTCCCGGGTTCCCGCAGTGGGGAGGAGCCGCCTGGGCGCGGAGATGCGTCGACACATTCTGTGGGCCTAGATTTAGACGCCACTGCGCCTGCGTACACTTTTCCTCCTTCCTACAGTGAAATAGGACCTTAGGGCGCCCGCCTTGCGCAGGCGCGGTCAGAGGCCGAGGCAGAGGCGGGGCCCGGAGCGAGGCGTAGGGGGTGTGGTCAAGGCGCAGTAAGGGTTCTCGCGGTGGGTAAGGGACGTTCGGGAAGAGTCGGTTGTGGGCGGGAAGGGGCTGAGCGGGGGTGCTGGGAGGGTTCAAGGGGTCCAAAGGGGAAGGGGGAACAGGGGCCAGGTGAAGGGGTAGATGAGGAGATCAGAACAGCCTTAGAGCTCAGGGGCCAACTGGGTGAACAGCCTTGGGTATCTAGGGGAGCAGTGGGGGGAGAGCAGAGCCGGCTAGTGTACAGGGGGCGAGAGCAGACTATTGAGAGATGGGGCTGAGGGTGAGGACCAGAACAATTCCTTCAGAAAAAAGTAGATTAGGATGTAAAAAGGGACCGGAGTAGGGATCCCAGATTCGAGTAAAAAATAGACTAATGAGGGTGGGAGGGTGGGAGGAAGGTCTTAAAGTGCCCACTATGTGTTAGGACTCGAGAAAGAGGCGGCGGGCGGCAGGCATGGAAGCTGAGGGGATAGTAGAGAGAAGCTGAGAGGACAGCCGCAGGAAAGATTTGAATGAGATGTCAGGACGCTGGCTCTTCTGCCTGGGGATCTAGGCTGCTTGGATTCCCAAGGTCTTGGGAAGGGTCTAGCCCTGCATGTGGCCACATTCAGCTGGGGCCAGGCCTTGGGCCAGCACTTTAATAGGGAAGGACCCAAGAGTCATGGCCTGGTGGTGTCTGGATGGGATTCCCCCAGGCCTTGCTGAGCCATGGAGAGAACTCTGGAGATGGCGCTCAAGACCCCTGCACTGTGTACCTCCTTTCTCACCTCTGGCCAGGGGCAGCAGGGACCATAGAAACTTAAAGAGGAGGGTAAAGGCACTGCCCAGAATCCTGAAAATATGAGTAAAGCCTCAGAGCCCCTCTCGGTCTGTCTTTTTCAGTAAATTCTCTCCACTTGATAGTTAGTTGCCTGGGTTCCCTGAGGAACCAGGTTGAGACAAGCAAGTGAATTTGGGGTATCTCCTACTTCTTTGGGGAAGTAGGAAAAGAGCTGAGCATCGGGTGGACCTGGCTGTAATTCAACCCACCGGTTATGACTTTGTTACTTGTAGAGGGGCTTTCTCTTTGGAAGGTGGCCTGAAAATTGAATTGGAGTGTCTTTGTTTTCTCCTATTGTCCCAGGAACATAGATGGCTGGAGACAGAATCTAGAGCCTTCAACAAATAATGTGCGAGATGTTTCACCATTCAGGAGTGGACCAGACCAAGGGAGTGGTGGTTGTCTCTGCCTGGAACTGACCATCTTTGATTTTGTAATTCTTCAGGTTCCACTGGGCTGATTCCCCTCCCATTTTCAAGCTCGGCCCCTTTCAACTCTGCCGAGAATGGCTCCCACCTGGCTCTCACGACATTCCCTGGTCCAACCCAAGGCCATCAAGATGTCTAGAGAGCAGGCACTAGACCACCCCAGAGACCTCAAGTGCCATGTGGAAAGAGGGATGTTTCCCGTGACAGGGCAGGACCAGGCGGAGAGCAGTAGGGATCCATCCTCCGGCTCCCTCTCTCAGGCTGGCTTGCTCAGTGAAACCCTTCTTCACTGGAATAACTCCTTACCCTATTCTCGCGGCCTAGCTTTCCAGAACCACCATTTTTTTTTTTTTTTTTTTTTGCAGACGAGTCTCGGCCCTGTCACTCCAGGCTGGAGTTACAGTGCCGGATCTCAGCTCACCTGCAAGCTCCGCCTCCCGGTTTTATGCCCATTCTCTCCTGCTCAGTCCTCTCCAAGTACTGGGACTACAGGCCCCACCACCTCGCCTCGGCGTAGTCTTTCTTTTGTAGTTTTCAGTAGAGAGGGGTTTTCACACCATGTTACCAGCGATGGGCACACAACCTACTCTTTTTTTAGTGCAATCAATTATTGTTCTTACAGGCTGCTTAGATACCATAAAGCAGATGTGCTCGGTCGCTCGGGCTCGCGCGACATAACAATAACATGAATAAGACACATCCTGACTTACAATTCTCGCTAATTAAAGGAATCTAAAATCCTCAAGGGGTAGATCGCTTCGACCATCAACCGAGGTACAAGCATAGTATGAGGCACAGATTGAAAATCAAACTAAATAGCTACCCCAGCACTGTTGCAGTGTGGGTTCATTCTGATGGAAGAAAGCCTTTACAGAGGACATGCTATGGGAGCTGGCCATGCTGTCGTATTGTCTGTAAACATTCTTTTTCTTGTTGTTTCATGTGTCTTCCCAGATGTACTGGGATATCATTCTGCCATTTTGCTCCAGAGTAGGATTACATTAGAAGCAGCAGCACGATGAAGAAGAAGGAGTACTAGACTGGGTGTCAGGAGACAAAGACTCTCTTTCTAGTTTGGCTACCAGCTAGAGGACATTTGGCAAGTCAATTTCCCTAGCCTACAGATCCCTGATACTTAAAAATAAATGAAGAAAATAAAGAAAAGGCCAGGTATGGTGGCTCACACCTATACTCCTAGCACTTTGGGAGCTGAGGCAGGAGGATCACTTGAGCCCAGGAGTTCAAGACCAGCCCAGGCAACAAAGCGAGACTTCGTCTCCACAGAAAATAATTAGCTGGCTGTGGTGACATGCATTTGTAGTCCCAGCTACTCGGGAGGCTAAGGTGGTAGGATCGCTTGAGCTCAGGAGTTCAAGGCTGCAGTGACCTATGATCCAGCCACTGCATTGAGGCCTGGGTGACACAGTGATACCCTGTCTCTGAAAACAACAACAATCTCCTGTGGTCCTGGGTGTCAGAGAGACAGCTGCCTCAGGAGCCATGTTCCAAGCTGGATTAAACTTCACGTGATATTGGTAGACAATGTCTCCAAAGGCTGGCACTATGTTATTTATGTACTGTTCTCTCAGACTCCTCATAAAGTATACCTAACACTCAATAAAAGCATTTTAACTAGCACCTGGCCTCACCATATTGATACTGGAAGCTCAGCTCTCTGTATGCCCATTCCTCCCTCAAACTTCTTGCCCTTAAATCAGAATTGAGAAGTCTCTGTTCTTCCAATCTTTCCACTTAAAATGTGTGGCCTAAAAATAAAAAATAAATAAGACAAAAAAAACACCAAAAAACAAAAAGAATGTGTGGCCTAATGATATACACATTTGATGTTGAATCTGTCTATATGTAGCTCTCTCTAGGGAGATCATGTTCCATGATCTCAGCCAGACTTTAGGTCCTGTGAGTCCAGGCACTGGACTTAACATGCTCAATAGGGCTTTGATGAATGATGATGATGTCAATGCAGACATCCCCATACCCCAGCTTCAGCACCCCCTTCACCTCCTCACACGGGGGCAGAGAGGTCCTCTTTTCCTTCTGGCTATGTTTACACCCTCAACTATCCTTCCAGCACTGGAGACAAGTCTCACCTGCACTAACCTGTCTTTGAAGGTCCTGGGAGCTGGAGGGGTCACAGGCCCTGAGCCAGCAGGCTGAGGTGATCGCTCGGCAGTTGCAAGAACTGCGGCGGCTGGAGGAGGAGGTCCGGCTCCTGCGGGAGACCTCACTGCAGCAGAAGATGAGGCTAGAGGCCCAGGCCATGGAGCTGGAGGCCCTGGCACAGGCAGAGAAGGCCGGCCGAGCTGAGGCTGAGGGCCTGCGTGCTGCTTTGGCTGGGGCTGAGGTCGTCCGGAAGAACTTGGAAGAGGGGAGCCAGCGTGAGCTGGAAGAGGTTCAGAGGCTGCACCAAGAGCAGGTGAATGCAGGGGTGGGAAGGATTTAAATTCATAACGGAGAGCTGGGCAGTAGCTTCCAAGCAAAGAACAGGTATTGCAGAAAAGACTCTCCATGAGTAGTGAGTAGTGGAGTGATGAGACCTTTGGTGAAAAGAAACACACATGGCCTAGAAAGATGGAGAATTTGGGTATTTTGATCTTAATTCAGGTTGCACTTTTCCCCCAAGACTCAGGTGGCCTCCCACGACTTGAAGCCCTGCTTCCTTTTCTAGTAGGAAGTAGTTTGCCTCCCTGCTTTACTCTGGGTACCAATTCATCGGGGGTATTGTGGAGGGCAGTGAGGAAGGTGGATATAAGGGGGCTATGGTGGACTGGGAGAGAGAGATTATTCAGTCCGCAAACTCAGTGCTTACTCTTTGCCATCTCAGACTCAGTGACCAAATTAGCCTGAATCCTGCCTTCATGGATGGAACTGACAGCCTCATGGGGGATACACACATCCACTTTTAATTTAATCATAATTAATTGCAATCAGGAGGAGTGCCTTGAAGGCGAAGGACTAGAGAGCACTAACTTAGTCTGGGGTTCAGGGAAGGCCACTGTAACCAATTGGACATGTCAAGGAAAGAAACCATAAGGCCGGGCGCAGTGGCTCACGCCTGTAATCCCAGCATTTTGGGAGGCCGAAGCAGGTGGATCACAAGGTCAGGAGTTCAAGACCAGCCTGGCCAACATGGTGAAACCCCGTCTCTACTAAAAATACAAAAATTCACCAGGCATGGTGGTGCAGACCTGTAATCCCAGCTACTCAGGAGGCCGAGGCAGGAGAATCACTTGAGCCTGGGAGGTGGAGGTTGCAGTGAGCCGAAATTGTGCCATTGCACTCCAGCCTGGGCAACAGAGCAAGACTCCGTCTCAAAAAATAAAATAAAAAAGGAACTGGGAGAAAACAAGGGAGAAATTCTTTGTAACCTTGTAGTGGGCAAGGCCTTTCTACCTGTGAGTCAAAATCCAAAATCTAGAAGCCGTAAAGGGAAAGATTGATCCATGACTTTATAACATGAACATTAGGAATGGCAGGGGAAGAAAAAAAAAAAAAAAAAGCTCTATTTATAGCTCAGATCACAAGAAAAGGGTAATATCCCTAATATAAAATGTGTGCCTAGAAATTGATAAGGGAAAGACCAGCAATCCACGCAGAAAGTGGACAAAGGAGATTCATGAAAGAAACTTAGAAACAAGAAGCTAGGCCAGGCACAGGGGCTCATACCTGTAATCCCAGCACTTTGGGAGGCTGAGGTGGGCCAGGATCACTTGAGGCCAGGAGTTCAAGACCAGTCTGGCCAACATGAAGAAACCCAGTCTCTACAAAAAATACAGAAATTAGCCGGGTATGGCGGTGGGCGCCTGTAATGCCCCAGCTTCTTGGGAGGCTGAGGCAGGAGAATTGCTTGAACCTGAGAGACAGAGGTTACAGTGAGCTGAGATCACCACACTCCAGCCTGGGCAGCAGAGCGAGACTAAAAAACAGCAAGCTACCATTTGTGCTGAATAGGAGTTGGCCAGTGAATAGGCGTGTGAGGTCCAATGGTCGCTGGAGGACACTCGGCAGGACAACTGGTGGAGGCGGGGACAGGCGGAGGCCAGAAGGCTGGAGCATAGAGATCAGGGGCGCTGAGTGTGCTGCAGAGCATGGGACCCAGGGCACAAGGCCTTGGCCACTTCAGAACTTGCTACTTTCCCTTAAGAGCAATGAGCAGGCTGGGCACGGTGGCTTATACTTGTAATCCTAGCACTTTGGGAGGCTAAGGCGGAAGGATCACTTGAGCCCAGGAGTTTGAGACCAGCCTGGGCAACAAAGTGAGCCCCCATCTCTATTTTATTAAATAAACTAGGGCTGGGCATAGTTGCTCACGTGTGTAATCCCAGCACTTTGGGAAGCTGAGGTGGGTGGATCACTTGAGGTCAGGAGTTTGAGACCAGTCGTGCCAACATGGTGAAACCTCATCTCTACTAAAAGTACAAAAATTAGCTGGGCGTGGTGGCTCATGCCTGTAATCTCAGCTACTCGGGAGGGTGAGGCAGGAGAATCGCTTGAACCTGGGAGGCAGCATTTGCAGTGAGCTGAGATTGTGCCATTGCACTTAGTCTGAGCAACAAAGTGAAACTCCATCTCCAAAATAACAAAAAGAAAACAAAATTGTTTTTTTAAGTGATAAGCAACTGTTGAAGGGTTTTAGGCAGGGAAATGACATGATTAGATTTGTATTTTATGTCTAAAAAGTTTTGTCATTTATATCCCCCAAATTAACTTTATTGTTGTATGGAGACGGGGCTAGAGGAGGCAGACCAGGAAGCAGGGTGGCCACTTTGCCCTCCTTCCCAGTCCATCCCATGACTGTTGGTGGCTCTGACACCCCTGCAACCCTTTGAGGTGCCATGAGCAAAAGACACAAAATTCCTCCTTTCCTGGAGCTTTCCTTCCAATGTGGTCTGACAGATAGTAACACATACACATAAGCAAGATATGGTCAGTGCTAAGTGCTCGGGAGGACGTGAGCAGTTGATGGGGCACAGGAGGGTGGTGAGGGTTATTAGAGGGCCCAGCGAAGCCACCCTGAGGAGGGGCTATCACCTGGGGTCTGTGGAGCAAGGAGGGGCCGCTGTCTGGTTCTCAGCGGACTCCCTGTGGCTGGAACGGGGAGCATTGGGAGAGCCTCCAGGGTGAACTCAGGAGGCAGGCAGAGGCTGGGTCCCCCGGCCTGCAGGTGTGGAGAGATGCCTGGGTTTTGCTGTGAATGCTGTGAGAAGCCACCGATGGTTTGTAAAGACTAGTTGGGAGATGGTCACTGTTGCCCAGGCAAAAGATGAGGGTAGCTTACCTTGGGTTGGTGGCAGTGGAGACGGAGACGGAGAGAGGTGAAGATAATGTTTCGGGGGAGATTGGACAAGAACTCCCGATGGGTTGTGGAGCAACTGCAGAGAATGAGTTACCAGCTCTCCATTTGCTATGCGCAGTTGGGTGATTGGTTTGGTCATTGTCTAACGTCACAGAAAGTGGGAGTGAAGGGAACAAGGAAGGCCTCCATGTGGGGTCGAGCTCCTGCTGAGCCCCCTCTTCTTTCCGCAGCTGTCCTCTTTGACGCAGGCTCACCAGGAGGCTCTTTCCAGTTTGACCAGCAAGGCCGAGGGCTTGGAGCAGTCTTTGAGTAGTCTGGAAACCAGGAGAGCAGGGGAAGCCAAGGAGCTGGCCGAGGCTCAGAGGGAGGCCGAGCTGCTTCGGAAGCAGCTGAGGTAGGTGGGTGGATGCCGACGGGGGCCCAGCAGTTGGTGATGTGGGGGGTCTGCAGGGTGCCCCACTGATGGCTGTCCCATTCCCACCCCAACCCTAGCAAGACCCAGGAAGACTTGGAGGCTCAGGTGACCCTGGTTGAGAATCTAAGAAAATATGTTGGGGAACAAGTCCCTCCTGAAGTCCACAGCCAGACATGGGAACTGGAGCGACAGAAGTTTCTGGAAAACATGCAGGTGAGTGTGCAGGAGTGCATCTGTGTGGGGACTTGGGGATCAGGTTGGGGGGCAAGTGTGGCCCTTGGAGGAGCGTGTAGAGCACAGCCCTCAGGAGAGAAGGTGGTACCCGAGGCGGCATGGAGGCCCTACAGAGGGGCTGCTTCTCTCCACCCGCAGCACTTGCAGGAGGACCGGGATGGCCTGCACGCCACTGTGGAGCTGCTGCAGGTGAGGGTGCAGAGCCTCACGCACATCCTCGCCCTGCAGGAGGAGGAGCTGACCAGGAAGGTACGGCCCGACCCCCAGATCCCTCACCCTCAGCCGCATCCTACACCTACTGTCCCCCACCCTCCTCCCTGTGGGTGGGAGGGTTCGATGTGCCCCAGAACCTGCTTGGATCTCTTTCTTCCTGTGAACTCCTCTTGCTGTAGCTCATGTTGCCCGGGCAGGACAGAGGAGAAACAAAGATGCCACCTCCTTCCTCTCCTCCCGCAGGAGCCCACACTTTCCTCCCGCTCCTTCTCCCTCAGGTTCAACCTTCAGATTCGCTGGAGCCTGAGTTTACCAGGAAGTGCCAGTCCCTGCTGAACCGCTGGCGGGAGAAGGTGTTTGCCCTCATGGTGCAGCTAAAGGCCCAGGAGCTGGAACACAGCGACTCTGTTAAGCAGCTGAAGGGACAGGTCACTGCGCTCTCTTTTCTCCCGGTATTCCCTCCCAGCACCTTGCTCCTTCCATAAGAGTGGCATCCATTCAACCAGAGTTTATTGAGTGGTTGCCACATGCTGGGCACACAGCCCTGAACAAAACCGAAATGTGGAGCTTGCATTCTAGAGCAGACACAGAACACGCAAGTAAACAGATAAATGTTCAGTAATTATATGTGCTGTATAGAAAGATTCAAGCTGGGTGCAGTGGCTCACGCCTGTAGTGCCAACACTGGTCTCAAACTCCTGACCTCAGATGATTCGCCTGCCTCAGCCTCCCAAAGTGATGGGATTACTAGTATGAGCCACCGTGCCCAGCCAAGTAAAATGCCAGCAGTCTGGGAGACTGATGCAGGTGGATCACTTGAGGTCAGGAGTTTGATACCAGCCTGGGCAACATGCGCAATCCCGTCTCTACTAAAAATAGAAAAAATTAGCCAGGCGTGGTGGCTCATTCCTGTAGTCCCAGCTACTCTGGAAGCTGAGGTAGGAGGATCACCTGAGCCTGGGAGGTCGAGGCCCCAGTGAGCTGTGATCGCACCACTGCACTCTAGCCTGGGTGACAAAGCAAGATCCTGTCTCAAAAAAAAAAGAAAGTAGCAAGAAAGATTGAAAAGATAATGTGACAGAGAGACTGGGGGGTGGGTCAGCCTCAAGTAGGATGGTCAGGAACAGCCTCTCTGAGGAGGTGACAGCATCTGAGGAGGGTGGCATGGTCAGTTGGTGGGTCCTGTGGGATGGGTCAAGGGCTATTCCCATGTTCAAGTGGGCACATGGAACGTGAAACCGGGAAGGAACACTGAACTCAGATTCTATTCTCAGGAACCTAAGCTTCTGTCACCCTGCATGGCATTGGTTCTTTTTCTTTCTCTTTTTGAGAAGGAGTCTTGCTCTGTCACCCAGGCTGGAGTGCAGTGGCGTGATCTCGGCTCACTGCAACCTCTGTCTCCCGGGTTCAAGTGATTCTCCTGCCTCAGCCTCCTAAGTAACTGGGATTACAGGCACATGCCACCATGCTTAGCTGATTTTTGCCTCCCAAGTAACTGGGATTACAGGCACGTGCCACCATGCTTAGCTGATTTTTGTGTTTTTAGTACAGACAGGGTTTCACCATGTTGGCCAGGCTGGTCTTGAGCTCCTGACTTCAAGCGATCTGCCTTGGCCTCCCAAAGTGTTGGGATTCCAGGTGTGAGCCACCACGCCTGGCCCCTGCATGACATTCTCTGCACCTGCCACTTTGCTTCTAATGCCTCCCTCAGCTTTTAGCTCTAGAGGCCCCTGCCCAGCTTCATCTCCTCCCCCAGGTGACCTCACTCCAGGAACAAGTAACAGCCCAGAGCCAGGAGCAGGCCATTCTGCAGCGATCCCTGCAGGACAAAGCCGCAGAGGTGGAGGTGGAGCGGATGGGTTCCAGGGTTGGTGTCAGCCTAGTAGAGACTCGGGGAGGGCAAGGGAGCCCTGGTCCAGGGCTGCAGCCAGGACTTAGGGAGGGACCCTGTCCTTTGCTGCATCCTCCCCAGGGCCTGCAGTTGGAGCTGAGCCGTGCTCAGGAGGCCAGGCGCCGGTGGCAGCAGCAGACAACCTCAGCCGAGGAGCAGCTGAGGCTTGTGGTCAATGCCGTCAGCAGGTATCAGGGATGGAGGGGCTGGTGGAGTAGTGTTTCTGCCACCTTAGCTTCCTGGGCACCTTGTTGCTGAGGAGCCTCGGGCAAGAGGGGCTGGAAAGCTGGCCACTGGAGGCTACAGGGCTGGGCAAATTTAGCCCTATCAATGTTCCTGTGTTCATTTCTCTTCTGGGGCAGCCTCCTCTGCATTCACACCTGATTGCTTGTCGTGAACTCCCCACTGCATGTTGGGCTGGAGGTGAGGCCTTGCTTCCTCCTGCAGTTCAGTCTAGTAATGGCTTGAGCTAAATAGAGCACCGGGGAGGATCTTCACTTGCAGCATTGTTCAAGGATGGAGAGTGTAGACACTTCATCATCCTTTCCTTGTCTAAAATTTTACAGGCATTCTCTGTTTCACTGGAGAAAAATTTAGTCTTTTTATTTATTTATTTATTTTGAGACGGAGTCTGTGTCACCCAGGCTGGAGTGCAGTGGCGCAGTCTTGGCTCACTGCAACCTCACTTCCCTGGTTCAAGTGATTCTCCTGCCTCAGCCTCCTGAGTAGCTGGGATTACAGGCATCCACCACCACGCCCAGCTAGTTTTTGTATTTTTAGTAGAGACAGGATTTCACCATGTTGGCCAGGCTAGTCTTGAACTCCTGACCTCAGGTGAGCCACCCACCTCACCCTCCCAAAGTGCTGGAATTACGGGTGTGAGCCACCGCGCCCGGCCTAGTCTATTTAAAGCTATATACTTACTTGCTTACTATTCCATCTAAAATGTAAGCCAGTTAGTTTCCTTCTAAATCAATTGCCAGCCTTTATGTCTCATACCAACTTCCTAGTTGTTTCATTACCAACAATTGTTCTACGACCTTCGGAAAAACTTCTAAGGAAACAGCAAAGCTTCTTTGTGCTGGTGATGACTTCCCCTCAGCCTTGGACATTGAGATACCCAAGGCAGGTAGTTCTTAGCACAGTGTCTGGCTTGTAAATGTTTCTTGTTATCATGAGGCTCTTCTTGATGGGTTAATGTAGATAAAGATAATTTTTGGTTTAGCGAAATTAAGATACAGGATGAGTCCTTGCCCACCACTTCCTTCTCTTGGATTTGTACCTTGGGGACTAATTCAGCTTAAAAAATCATGAAACATTTCACACTTGCATGGAATTAAACTAGTTATGATGACCTACCACTCAGGTTCAATCCATTGCGTGTGCCCCCTACCTCCAGGAGAACAGAAGGATGTGCTGCGGACAGAGTTTGACTTTGGTACCAGGCGATCACAGAAATGGTCTGTGTGATGATGCATTGCCAAAAGTCCTCCAGGCTTAAAGCAGTCCAAACTCGGATTGTTGCTGGGTTTATTAGATTGTCTCTAGGTACTTGGAGACTTTATTACGAGCTGCGGTAGGTGTTGGAAGCATCTACTTGAACAATTTCCAGATCAAAGTGAACTTTGCCGTGCTGCTGGGGATGCAGCTGCAAGCCTCCATCATCGTGTGTTTTTCTGTGGGTGCAGACCCGGACTCTCCTGAGGAAACCCCAAGTGGGCCCTAGACACTCCTTGGCCTCCTCCCGGGGCCTGTTTAAGCTGCTCAGTTTTCATGAGCCAGGTTGGTCCTACTTTTGGCACAGCCAGCTGGTAAAGCATGTGGGTCTGCCCGTCATTGGTGCTAAATCAACACTCCTGGGCTTGGAGAGGATAACTTTGTTTTGGTTTGGTTTTTTGAGATGGAGTCTCACTTTGTTGCCCAGGCTTGAGGGCAGGGGCGCAATCTTGGCTCACTGCAACCTTCACCTCCTAGGTTCAAGTGATTCTCGTACCTCAGCCTCCGGAGTAGCTGGGATTACAGGCATAAGCCACCATGCCCGGCTAATTTTTATGTTTTTAGTGGAGACAGAGTTTCACCATGTTGGCCAGGCTAGTCTCCAATTCCTGACTTCAGGTGATCCACCTGCCTCGGCCTCCCAAAGTGCTGGGATTACAGGCAGAAGCCTCTGGCCAGAGAGGATAACTTTACTCTTTGATGCACAATAGTGAGCGAAACACAGGTTGTGAGAAATAAGCTTAACAGGTTGCTTTAAAAGATAGTCATTTAATGCATTCTTGGGGCAAGGTCCCTTTAGATAATTGATGGAAGCTGTGCGTTCTTCACTTGTATAACAGGACAGGATTGAGGGAGTTGTCTCTACTAGGCACAGCAAGTCCTTTGGGAATGAGGGGAGGCATGGAGCGTCAATGACCTGTGCCCTCTCCAGCTCTCAGATCTGGCTCGAGAGCACCATGGCTAAGGTGGAAGAGGCTGCCGCCCGGCTTCCCAACCTCAACAACCGACTCAGCTATGCCGTCCGCAAGGTCCACACCATTCGGGGTGCGTAGGGCAACTGTGAGCCATGTCCCGCCCCCGCCCCACCAGCTGGGACTTTCTTCTTCCTGACCCAGCTCTGTGATCCCACATCCATTCACCTTCCTCCTTTCACCAGCCCTTGCATCTCTTTTTCCCTTACTCCCTGTCCCCTACTTTCTGCCATGCAAACTTCATCTCTTTTTCTCCCTGCCTTTTCCCTCCCAGGCCTGACTGCTCGAAAGCTTGCCCTTGCTCAGCTGCGCCAGGAGAGGTGAAGTTTGGGCACTTTGAGGTGGATGGGGCTTTAGAGCATTGGCTACTGGGACCCCCAAAACCATGAGAACTGAGGCAGGATGGGTGCTTTGGGGTCAGGCAGCTGGGTGATTTCTCCTGACTCTCTCTTCCCTGTCCCAGCTGTCCCCTACCACCACCAGTCACAGACGTAAGCCTTGAGTTGCAGCAGCTGCGGGAAGAACGGAACCGCCTGGATGCAGAACTGCAGCTGAGTGCCCGCCTCATTCAGCAGGAGGTGGGCCGGGCTCGGGAACAAGGTACACCTGGTTGCCAGGGGGTGGTGAGGATGAGGAAAGACCTGGTGTCTAGGGTGCTAGGAGAGGCCTGACCCAGCACCCCCTCCTTTTAGGGGAGGCAGAGCGGCAGCAGCTGAGCAAGGTGGCCCAGCAGCTAGAGCAGGAGCTGCAGCAGACCCAGGAGTCCCTGGCTAGCTTGGGGCTGCAGCTGGAGGTGGCACGCCAGGGCCAGCAGGAGAGCACAGAGGAGGCTGCCAGTCTGCGGCAGGAGCTGACCCAGCAGCAGGACCTCTACAGGCAAGGTGTTGAGAGGGAAAGGGGTGCTTCCCTTGGACGGTGGCGTGGGAATTGCAAATCAAAGCTCCTGCTGATACGCCCTGTCTGCACTTTCACCCCAGCCCTGCAAGAGAAGGTGGCTGAAGTGGAAACTCGGCTGCGGGAGCAACTGTCAGACACAGAGAGGAGGCTGAACGAGGCTCGGAGGGAGCATGCCAAGGCCGGTGAGCCTTGCCAGGGTGGATAGGGCCTTCCAGGAAGAAGGAAGTGTTAAGACATAGGTTATTATTTTCCCCTCAAAGTTTTTTCAAAGCTTCATTACAGGAAGTAATGAAGGTATCCATGAATAGCACAGATGATTTCTCACTTCATGAACACACCCATGTAGCCAGCACCAGATTAAGAAACAGCATATGACCGGGCACGGTGGCTCACGCCTGTAATCCCAGCACTTTGAGAGGCCGAGGCAGGTGTATCACTTGAGGTCAGAAGTTTGAGACCAGCCTGGCCAACATAGTGAAACCCCATCTCTACTAAAAATACAAAAATTAGCTGGGTGTGTTAGTGGGTGCCTGTAATCCCAGCTACTTGGGAGACTGAGGCAGGAAAATGACTTGAACTCAGGCGGCGGAGGTTGCAGTGAGCTGAGATCACACCATTGCACTCCAGCCTGGAGAGCAAAACTCAGTCTCAAAAAATAAATAAATAAAGAGCATATGACCAGCTCAGGACCCTCCTGTACCCCTTCCAGTCATACCCCTTCACAGAGGCTACCACCTTCCAGATGTCTAACACCAGCAATTACCCCCTAGCAAAAATTTCACACACCTAAACAAGTTAAAAAATTGTGGCCGGCACGGTGGCTCACACATGTAATCCCAGCACTTTGGGAGACGAAGGCAGGAGGATTGCTTGAGCCCAGGAGTTCAAGATCAGCCTGGGCAACACAGACTCCCATCTCTTTAAAAAAAAAAAAAAAATTACAAAAATTAGCCAGGCATGGCGGTGGGCACCTGTAGCCTGAGCTTACTTGGGAGGCTGATGTGGGAAGATCACATGAACCTGGGAGGTGGAGGCTGCAGTGAACCGAGATTGTACCACTGCACTCCAGCCTGGGCAATAGAGAAAGACTGTGTGTCTAAAAAGAATTGTGTAATGAATATATCTTCTCTAAATATAGCAGTTAACATTTGCCACATTTGGTCTCTTACCTATATACACGCATATTTGTGCATCTTTTGATTCACTTTAAGTTGTAATCATTTAATTTTTTTTTTTTTTTTTTGAGACAGTCTTCCTCTGTCACCAGCTGGAGTGCAGTGGCGTGATCTTGGCTCACTGTAACCTCCGCCTTCCAGGTTCAAGTTGTTTTCCTGGCTCAGCCTCCTGAGTAGCTGGGATTACAGGTGCCCACCACCACGCCCAGCTAATTTTTGTATTTTTAGTAGAGACAGGGTTTCACCATGTTGGCCAGGATGGTCTCGATCTCTTGACCTGTGATCCACCTGCCTCGGCCTCCCAAGGTGCTGGGATTATAGGCGTGAGCCACCGCGCCCGATCATTTAATGTTTTAAGTAAGTTGTAAACATAAGTTGTTCAGCTGCATCTCCCAAAGCCAGTAAATTCTCCTATATAGCTGCAATCATCACACTTGAAGACAAGGAACACTAATTGCACAAAATCTAACTCAGTTCATATTCAGATTTCCCCTGCGGAACTCCAGGATGGTTCAGGGATGAGGAAGATACTTAGGTTCAGATTCCCAGGCTCCTAGAGCATCAGCACCCCCCTCCAACTGTACAGAAGAGACAGATCCACAGAGCAGAACAGCCCCCACAAGCCACAGAGTTGGTGACCCAGCATTTGTTCCTGTCTTCATGGTGCCTGGCTGCCTCTGGCCTGACCCATACCTGCCTCCCCTGTGCCTTGGCCTCTCTGTAGTGGTCTCCTTGCGCCAGATTCAGCGCAGAGCCGCCCAGGAAAAGGAGCGGAGCCAGGAACTCAGGCGTCTGCAGGAGGAGGCCCGGAAGGAGGAGGGGCAGCGACTGGCCCGGCGCTTGCAGGAGCTGGAGAGGGATAAGAACCTCATGCTGGTAGGAGACAGGACGGCAGACAGGCAGACACTAGGGCCCATCCTGGGCTGGTTCCTGGGCTAGAGGTGTGGAAAGAGGATGGTGAGGGAGGTTCTACCCAGGCTAGGTGGCGTTTAACCCTCTCCTTCCCAGGCCACCTTGCAGCAGGAGGGTCTCCTCTCCCGTTACAAGCAGCAGCGACTGTTGGCAGTTCTTCCTTCCCTACTGGATAAGAAGAAATCTGTGGTGTCCAGCCCCAGGCCTCCAGAGTGTTCAGCATCCGTACCTGTAGCAGCAGCAGTACCCACCAGGGAATCCATAAAAGGTCTTGGGCCAAGCACAAAGGGACAAGGGACAAATGGGCGCACTTCAGCAATCTCCCCTCCAGACTCTTGCATGATGAGTGGTGTTCTCTGTGATCCTTTGAGGCCCTTAGCCTCTTTTAGCGATGCCCAGCTTGGACCAAAGAGCCTCCTCTCTCCCAGTCCTCATTTCCTGTGTCAGCCCTGTTTCCTCTGTAACCACGAGCACCTCCCCTTGTCTGGTGCTCATCTCCTGCTATCTTCCTTCCCAGGGTCCCTCTCTGTCCTGCTCGATGACCTGCAGGGCTTGACTGAAGCCATTTCCAAAGAGGAAGCTGTTTGTCAAGGAGACAACCTTGATAGATGCTCCAGCTCCAATCCCCAGATGAGCAGCTAAGCAGCTGAGAGCCCAGGGAAAGCCAGCCTGGGGGCTGGGAGGATCCTGGAGAAGTGGGTGGGGACAGACGAGCCCTTCCCCCTCCCGGGGTCACTCTGGGGAACACTGGCTGAGTCTAAATTCTGCTCTAAATAAAGACGACTACAGTAGGAGCCATTGTTTGGAAATGTAATCTCTGAGAATCTGGGAATTCTCCCTGCAGCCATCTCTCTTGGAGATGTGAGAAGTGGTCCCACCCATAGCTCTCTCTGGGTGATACCTTTTCAAATCCTTTTTCTAGGCAGCTTTGGAAATATTTGGGAAGCTTCTGCTTTTCTTTATTCTCAACTTTTAAAACTCTTTTCTTCTGGAAGATGATAAATGCTAGGAGTGGGGAAGATGAAACATTCATTCATTCAACAGGAATGTCAGAGCCAGGCACTGTATTAGCCTGGGGGCCACCTGGGCCTTGAGAGCCTACATCCTAGTGGGAGAGAGAGGACAGATGACCTAAACAGATGAACAAGATCATTTCAAACAAGTGCTTGAAGAGAAAGTATAGTACAATTATGTGATAGAAACTGACTCTGGGGAGAGGCCTCTGAGCAAGGGACCTTGTGCTGAGAGGCCTGCCTGAAGTGGGCTCCTGTGGAGGCCAGGAGGCTCTGTAGAGAATGGTCAAGGACGCTGCTTCGAGGCCAAGATGTGGCCAAGTTTGGATTTTACTCTAAGTCAATAGAAAGCCATTGGAGCACTTCTTTAAAAATGGGGAAGAAGGCCAGGCGTGGTGGCTCACACCTGTAATCCTAACACTTTGGGAGACTGAGGTGGGCGGATCACAAGGTCAGGGTATCGAGACCATCCTGGCTAACACGGTGAAACCCAGCCTTCACTAAAAATACAAAAAATTAGCCAGGTGTGGTGGCAGGTGCCTGTAGTCCCAGCTACTCGGAAAGCTGAGGCAGGAGAATTGCTTGAACTGGGAGGCGGAAGTTGCAGTGAGCTGAGATTGCGCCACTGCACTCTAGTCTGGGTGACAGAGGAGACTGTCTGGGAAAAAAAAAAAAAAAAAACCATTGGAGGGCATAGTGGCATGCACCCATGGTCCTAGTTACTCCAGAGGCTGAGTTGGGAGGATTGTTTGAGCCCAAGAGGTTAAGGTTGCAATGAGCTGTGATCGCACCACTGCACCCCAGCCTGAGAGCGAGAACCTGTCCTCACTCCCCAAAGGGAAGATGCAACATGATTTGGTGTACATTTTTTTTCCTGAAAGACTTACTGGATGGTCCCTTCCAGAGTGAGGTACACACATCCACGCACTATGGTCAGCAATTGCTCCCGGGACCCCGACATCTCAGTTTAGTGAACTCAGGGCAAGACAGCGACTGCCCATGGTCAGCACGGCAGGTGGGTGGGTCCAGCGAGGTCACTTCCCCAAGAGGGCATAATTGAGCAGCTTCTGGATCAGGTCCACGTGGGCCAGCAGCATGCAGCAGCGGCTGTAGTGCTTCAGGGCCAGGGCGTCCCTATCAGTGTACCTGGCCTGCAGCAGCCCCAGGTAGGCCTCCCACGTGTTGCCCACAGTCTTGCTGCAGGTGAAGCAGCGCACACAACTCCTGAGCTCAAGTAGTCCTTCTGTGTCAGCCTCCCAAAGTGCTGGCATGAGCCACCACGCCTGGCCTGATACAATACATTTTTTTTTTTTTGATACGGAGTTTCACTTTTGTTGCTAAGGCTAGAGTGCAATGGCGTGATCTCAGCTCACTGCAACCTCTGCCTCCTGGGTTCAATTGATTCTCCTGCCTCAGCCTCTTGGGTAGCTGGGATTACAGGTATTTGCCACCATGCCTGGCTAATATTTTTGTATTTTTAGTAGAGACGGGGTTTCTCCATGTTGGTCAGGCTGGTCTTGAACTCCAAACCTCAGGTGATCCACCCGCCTCTGCCTCCCAAAGTGCTGGAATTACAGGCATGAGCCGCCATGCCAGGCCCACCTGATGTATATTTTAAGACCTCCTTTGCTGGTGGAGGACAGATTTTGTGTGAAGGGGAGGGATAAAGAGTGGGAGCAAGGGGGCCACTGAGAAGGGTGTTGGAGAGGCTTGGGGGAGATGGTGGCTCAGGATGATGGGCTGGGTTTGGACAGGGCATGGAGGGGCTTGCAGGTGGATGGGCTGTGGATGGTGGAGGAGAGTAACGAAGGTTTCTGTCCTTCATGAGCCCTGGAGGGAACAGACGAGATCACACCATTGCATAGTAAGGTATCCCTTACTGTGGGGTAGCGAACCAGGCAGGGAACAACCTGGGAGGAATCAAATTTTATTTTGGACACGTTACTTCTGAAGGGCTAACAGACTTCCAGGCAGAAAGGCCCTTGAAGGAAACATTCTAGGGGTCTCTCTGGGAGGCTTAGATCAGGGAGCTGAGACCAAAAGGAGAATGGGAGGGAGGAGACGATACAATAGAGTTGGAGCCGAGGCCCTTAGAGGTAGATAGGTGGATTCCTGAGGGAGGAGGAAGGGGCTGAGGTTGCTGGAGCCTGGCAGCTTCTTCTGGAGCCATTGGCAGGACTTATGCAAACAGCTCTGGGTGGGAAGAGGGAACCAGGATATCCTCCTGTGTCCTTCCTCTTCTGCAGTCATCCTGGATGACTCCCAGATGGAATTTCTTGGATGTCATTGCTTGGAGGTCCCCTGCATGCCTGAAGAAGGACATGCTGGAGAGCAGGATGCCTGGATCCCATGGGTGAAGGGAAGTGCCCAGGAAAGAACGAAGTCCCAGGGGGAGCTTTTAGTGTGTGGGTGAGTGGGGAGGCTGGGGTAGTAGCTGACACTGTCCCAGCTGCATCCCAGGTTTGAAAGGCACCTCCTCCCCCAGCGCAGGCATCCTGCCTCCCAACCCTGTAATTACGGCGCTTCCCAACGCGTGGTTTGCCCCCATTCTTTGGCTTCCAATAGTTGCAAGGGATGAAGGTGGACATCTCTGTGATTACGGAGATGCCAAGTGAGTATTGACTGCTCCAGCGTGTGGATGGAGGGTTGTGAAAACCAGGGTGGGGTGATGCAGGGTCAGGGTCATGATAGGGAGAGCGGCAGCTGGGTCCCGGACAGGGGGACTAAAATAAGGGACGCCACCTTCAGAGGTGACACATTAGCCCAGGCCTTCCCAACGGGTTTGACCAGTTCTGTTCTGATGGTATTCCTGTGCCACTGGGCTGGCCCCTCCTCCCCTCATCCCCTATAAAGCCTCTTGGGGTTCCCAGGCACCCAGACTCAGCCCACCCCAGCTTTGGGGGCCAGTACCCAGCCATGATGCTCAACTGGAAGCTCCTTGGGATCCTGGTCCTTTGCCTGCACGCCAGAGGTGAGGTGGAAACAGAGGCAGGGAGTGCAGTTTGGGGACAGATGAGGGATGGTCAGGATGGGGGAGGTGAACTGGACGCATGGGGTTGCGGACAGGAATTCAGGGGATGCAGAAGATGCGTCTGGCTCACCAGAAACGGCTTTCTGTACACAGTGGGTTGGGGACAGGAGTTCAGGGGTGCAGAAGGTGCGTTTGGCTCTCACCAGAAATGGTTTGCTGGCTCCATGTGGCAAAGTCGGTCAGGATTAATGCGTGCGGGACGAGTTTCCTCGGAGCTGTGATTTGTGTTAAGGAGCTAGGGTCTGTGTGTCCGGGGGCCAAGGTGTAGCCCACTTTGGGTTGTAGATTGGCCTGAGGACAAAGCCAGTGGGGTACCCCAACCAGGGGTAGATGGAGCTTATTTGGAGAAGTCTGGTCAGTTTAAAGTGGGACAAGTGAATGGTTCAGATCCATCGCGGGTAGGGTTCATGACATTTTATCATCAGTTAAGTATTTACAAACGCACAGAGAGCTCTTTGAGAGGGACTTTTTTGGTCTGTTTGTGGGTCGGTTCAGGCTGTGTCCATCCAGAGAGGCTCCTCCTCCTGGGGCTGGGGCTGGGGCTGGGGTGGCGGAGAGAAGCCCTCATCACCTCTTACCTTTCTCCTTCCTCCTTTACAGGCATCTCAGGCAGCGAGGACGACCCCTCTCACCCACCCGCAGAGGACCGAGAGGAGGCAGGCTCCCCAACATTGCCTCAGGGCCTCCCAGTCCCCGGTGACCCTTGGCCAGGGGCACCCCCTCTCTTTGAAGCCCCTCCGCCTCCCCGCCCCAGTCGTCCCTGGAGAGACCTGCCTGAAACTGGAGTCTGGCCCCCTGAACCGCCTAGAACAGATCCTCCTCAACCTCCCCGGCCTGATGACCCTTGGCCAGCGGGACCCCAGCCCCCAGAAAACCCTTGGCCTCCTGCCCCTGAAGTGGACCACCGACCTCAGGAGGAGCCAGACCTGGACCCACCCCGGGAAGAGTACAGATAATGGGGTTCCGCCAGCCGTTCTGCTCCCAGGCATCTCCAGGCACCCACGCCCTCTCCACTCTGATTCCCCGTGAATTCTTCCCAATTTAGCCCGTCTCCTTAAACCTCTTCCTCATTCCCTCGGTTTTATTCTGAACCCATAAGGTGGTGTTCTCAATATTTCCTGTCCCCTCCTGAGATCCGTACTTAGCACTCACATTGCCCGTTTTTTCCTCTGACAGCCTAAGCCTACTCTCCTACCTCACCTCCAGGCCTCGGCCCCACCTGCCTCCCTCCCCGTCTTCCTGCCCGCGCGATCGCTGGGGCAGGGCTGCGGTACTGTGTTCCCTTCTGCCACCTGGTGGCCGGCGGCAGGAATTATCAGTAGACAGCTGTTGCTTCCATGAAACGGAAAAATAAAAATCACGTTTTCTTAATTCTGAATCTAGGCTGCTGCTTTAACTAACATTTAGTATTTTTTGTTGTTGTTGTTTTTTGAGATGGAGTCTCTATCTGTCGCCCAGGCTGGAGTACAGTGGCGCGATTTCGGTTTACTGCAAGCTCCGCCTCCCGTGTTCACGCCATTCTCCTGCCTCAGCCTCCCGAGTAGCTGGGATTACAGGTACTCACCACCATGCGTGGCTAATTTTTGTATTTTAGTAGAGACGGGGTTTCACCATGTTGGCCAGGCTGGTCTCGAACTCCTGACATCATGATCCACCGGCCTCGGCCTCCCAAAGTGCTGGGATTGCAGGCATGAGCCACCGCACCCGGCCAACACTTACGTTTTTGACTATTTGGATGCCCTCTTCACAGTCCTAAATTTACAGAGACCTGGAAGTAATCTGAGTTCCTATCTTGCCCATATCCAGTACGTAAGGCTATAGGGCTCAGCAGGAGGAGGGTTGGAAATATCACTATGCAAGGCACAGTCACATTCAGGCCAACATTTCTCCCTTTCTGGGAACACTATATTGAAGAATGGGAAGGCAAGTTTCATCTCTGTTTGATGGCCTATGGCTTGGATACCCCTTGTGGCATATGCAAACCTTCCCGGGGTGTGTCTGCAGGACCAGCTTTAAGGGAATCATTTTCCAGATGAATATGTGCCCCTCCCTAGAAAGAATCTCCTGCCTGTCCTGGGCCTGACCAGAGTGCCCTTCCCAGAGCTGCCAAAAGTCAGTGGGAAACAAATCAACCCTTCCCCGCTTTCCATCTCATTAAGAGATGCATTTTCTTTCTTTTTTTTGAGACGTATTCTCACTCTGTCGCCCAGGTTTGAGTGCAGTGGCCTGATCTTGACTCACTGCAACCTCCGGCTCCTAGGTTCAAGCAATTCTGCCTCACCCCCCTGGGTAGCTGGGACTATAGGCACGTGAAATCCCATCCGGCTATTTTTATTTTTAGTAGAGACAGGGTTTCACCATGTTGGTCAGGCTGGTCTTGAACTCCTGACCTCAGATGATCCACCCGCCTCGGCCTCCCAAGGTGCTGGGATTACAGGCGTGAACCACTGCGCCCTGCCTCATTCATTCATTCTCTTACTTCCTCAGTGTGTCCACGAATGCCGGGTGCCATGGGAGAATATAAGAACATAAAGAGTAAAAATATGTAGTTTCTACTCGGAAACTTAAAATTGAGAGAGGCAGGATTTACAGTTAAGTTTAAATAACATCAAAGACAGTAAAAATGCATATGTCCTAATAATGACATGAGTAAGTGCCAACGTAATAGCCTTGGCAGTAAATGCTGTGAGTTCAGAAGAGTTACGGTGAGCTGTACTAGTCAGGGGAGGCTTCCGGGAGGAGGGCCTGGAGCCGGACCTGAGAGAAGAGCAGGCAATGTGTCTGGAGGATGGTCCAGGAAGGGTGGACCTGGAGCCTCATGCAGGGCGCAGGTGCAGAAGCTGCCCTGGATGATGCGCTCTCATGGCCAGACCCACCAGCTGTGGGGACCAGCCCTTGCGCCTATGTGCATTAGCTTTCTTGTGTGCTGTTCCCTATGTCTGGAATGTCCTTCCTCTCCCAAACCAGCTGTATTTCTCCTCAGGAATGCCTCTGCCTACACCACTCCCTCCCGCACCCCGCCCGACCCCCGACACCCTTCACCCCAGTCACACTATGGCAATGATTTATTCATGTCTGTCTTCCCTTCCCAGGTCATGAACCTCGTGGAGCAGGGACTGTGTTCTATGCATTTCTTCTTGAACCCCTTTACCATTTTTGTGCCTACGGACTCCCAGAGTGCTAAATCACCCCCGACAGCCAAATTACCCACAACAGCCCCGCCTATGCCTCCGCAGGGACCTTTTCCAGGGACAGAAGGCTGGAAGCACTTGGAAATTTTTCTCTCCCACATCCTCACATGCCACCACCCTCCCACTCCCCCAGGCCACTCCCAGGCCTTAACCAATGGTGCACAAATATGAAGGTGTCAATACCCCAGCCCTCCATGTGTCTTAGCTTGGTTCCACTCATGTGCTTGGGTCCACTTTCCCACTCCCTTTCCACTCCTCCCCACCCTCATTACTTTTTTCTTTAGGACAGGGTCTCACTGTGTCACGCAGGCTAAAGTGCAGTGGCACGATCATAACGCATTGCAGTGTCGACCTCCTGGGCTCGAGTGGTCCTCCTGCCTCAGCCTTCTCAGCCTTCTGAGTAGCTGGTACTACAGATGCACTCCACTCACTGGGCTAATTTTTAAATTTCTTGTAGAAATGATGTCTTGCTATGTTGCCCAGGCTGGTCTGGAACTCTTGCACTCAAGCAATCCTCCTGCCTTGGCCTCCCAAAGTGCTGGGATTACAGGTGTGAGCCATCATGCCCGGTCCCATCATTACTTCTATTTATGTATTTATTTATTTATTCAATTTTTGAGACAGATTCTCCCTCTCGTTGCCCAGACGGGAATGCAGTGGTGTGATCTCAGCTCACTGCAATCTCCGCCTCCTGGGTTCAAGTGATTCTCCTGCCTCAGCCTCCTGAGTAGGCTGGGATATAGGCATGCACCCACTAACCGGCTTAATTTTTGTACTTTTAGTAGAGACGGGTTTCATCATGTTGGCCAGGCTGGTCACTTCCAAAGAAGCAGAAAACAGGCCCTAGAGAGTATACAATGACCCCATGCAACGTCACACGGGGACAAATCGTGCAGAATCATGATTTGAATTCAGCGTCTGTGCTATGCTAACAACACTGATTTTAACCACTTACAGTCAGCCCACCATTTTTCATTTTTATTTTGAACGGAGTCTTGCTCTGTCACCCAGGCTGGAGTGTAATGCAACCATCTGCCGGGCTCACTGCAACTCCATGCCCTGGGTTCAAGCAATCCCATGCTCAGCTCACCAAGTGCTGGATTAACACGCCCACACACAGATCCACGGCTAAGTTTTTGGTAGTTTTAGTAGGACAGGGTTTACGCCATGTTGGCAGACTGGGCTTGAACTCTGGACCTCCATGATCCACCAGCTATTGGCCTCCCACAAGGCTGGGATAGGGTGCGAGCCCACCCGCCGGCGGCCTCCCAGCTCTTTATTAATCTGGTGAAAACCCTGACACAGGAATCAGGTGCCTGGGCCCGTCATTGCACACTAGGTGTTTGTGAAAGCTAAATTTAGCGGGCGCGGGGCTCCACGCCCTGAATCGCAGCACTTTAGGGAAGCGAGCGGGCGGATCACAAGGTCAGGAGATCGGACACGGTGACAACCCGTACTTTTACTAAAAATAGAAAAAATT